CGAATTAGAATTGAAACAAGAAGCTACTAGGGGCTCCTGGCCTTACTGCTAGGAGCAAGCACACTCTTAGGGGCTCCTGGCCTTACTGCTAGGAACAAGAATGCGAATTAGAATTGAAACAAGAAGCTACTAGTGGCTCCTGGCCTTACTACTAGGAGCAAGGACGCTCTTAGGTGCTCCTGGCCATACTACTAGGAACAAGAATTCAATAGAAGTAGAATTTAGAACAAATGGCGAGTGCGACATCCTGAGCCCAAGACCTGCCATTTCAACTGTCCATTTTGAACCAACCAGATCCTGTGGGACAACACAAAAATCGCCAAAATGACAAGGCATAAGACATGAAAGTCCCAAAAGCTCTCCGAGCAAGGAAGTGGTCCAAATATTGCATCCACTGCATACCAGCAAACGTAGTGCTATGTAGTGCTTGCATGCAAACAAGGAAGAGGGCGGTGCATTTTCTTTGGAAAGAACCGGTAAACCATTGAATGACTCGTTTAGAGATGTGGCGATGTTGAACTCCAAGCTATCAGCGGTATCAGGAGCTAGGCAGGAATTGCATTGACCAAACAATACGTCTTTGGTCTTGCCTGATAGCTGTAACAGTGAGCACGGTCCAAAGCACCAAGCATGCACTCTCCAAAGCACTTTTGAAATGTCAATCTGTGCTTGAAGTGGCGGGTAAACTTTGAAGTGGGAGGGCACACAGTTGCAGCAAATCAACCGCACAATGACATGTAGAACGGTAGAACTGACTGAAAGGAAAAAGCGGCAAAATCGAGCATCTCGAAATAAGCCCTGAAAAAGTCGAAGGGATTCCTCTGGCCACTTGAGTCCTCCGTCCCCCCATCCTGGACATGCAGCGACATGGCCAACAGTGCCCCCGGCCCGAGCCCCGAAGCTGCGACGCTCCAGAACCACCCACCAGCACACCTACGTAGTAGCGTCCGGTAGCGATGCCGTTTGCTCCTAGTAGCGTCCTTGCTCCTAATAGCAAATTATATATAAATATTTTATAATACCTTTCTTCCTTTTCCTTGTATTTGTTTCTAATAGCGACGGCCTCCAACCTACTAGCGTTCTTGATGTAAAGACGTCCAGAACATAGTCCTTGCGTCCTTGGGTTTAAAGCTTGTGTGATCACAATTTCAGAACCGAATGCGCAACTTTATTGAACTCTAGAACCATGCTCGCAGGCACGCTCTGTCAAGCCAGCCATCGGTTTTCGAAGCAATGCAGAGCGAAGATGGTCTCGGCTCTCAGTTGAAGCTTGGCTGAATGGCCTTTAGCAAACCTAGGAGCAAGGATGCTACTAGGGGCTCCTGGCCTTACCACTAGGAGCAAGAACGCTACTAGGAGCAAACGGCATCGCTACTAGGAGCGATCGGACGCTACTAGCCACCCTTCAGCAAAATGGTCAGAGCGCCAAGCAGGCCACTTCAAGTTGGGCGCTGGACTTGGGGTGTTGGTGTTCTACTTTGTCTGGTGCTTAGTGGCATCATCTGACACAAACTTTAGCCAATCCAACACAAAATTCTGCTCAACTATAGAACTAGCCAAAGCTATGTCGGCTACGTGCACATGTTGCATCAACATCTTCACGAGCTAAGACACTAGAAACCACAATAGAATGGGCTTTGTAACTCAAGCGTGTTGCTCCCTGTGATCCCGAACCTGGCAGGTCATCCACATGGACATTGTGACCTGCTTTAAGCGTCACCACTTGGATGTGACCCTCCTAGCGAGCTGCTTTCAAGAGTCTGGTAGCCAAAGACAGCAGTTTGTCAATACCCTCGTCACAATGTATATACCTTTATATACCTTTCGTAATTTTAAAAACTGTTCTGTGAAAACATATCGTTGCTGTTGAGAGATAATCCCCAGAATCCGACCATCTGCAGAAAATATGTCCAATCCCAAAAGCGCAGTGTTCCACCATTTCTCTCTCCTCCTGAAGCGACTCCAACTGCTTGAGGTTCTCTTCACCCCAGGCGTGCCTGGCGCTAGCTGTGCTACCAGCCACTGTTTGCGGCTGCTTGTCCGACTAGTCCTATGGTGTTGGTCAGACCCTGGTCGTGAGCCTATGAAGTTTCGATTTCAAAAGGTTCAAAAGCCCCCAGTAGCGTCCGATCGTTCCTAGCAGCGATGCCCTTTGCTCCTAGTAGCGTCCTTGCTCCTAGTCCTGAGGTTTGTTATAAAGTTCTTGTGAGGCTCCCCTACAATCCACTGAACCTCACCATCTCAGCCTGTTCTTGCCAGCCACTACGACTCCAATGTCCTAAGCTGAACTTGAAAGGATTCTGCACCAACGTCTTCAGCAAGGTCTGCAGGAGTCAACGTCTTCATCGGCATCCCGGCAGAAGCTGCAACCTAAGAGCGATGGCCTCCAACCTAATAGGGGAATGATACTTGAGATGATGGAATGAAGATGATGGTGGAATGATGGCGTCGTTGCAATTGGGTTTGTCAAATAAGGCAAGCCAAGCGTCCGCAGGCCCCTTGAAAAGATGCCACATATCTTTCCCTTGGTAGGCTGCATAAAGCTGACCTTGGCTCTGATGTGCAAGAAGGACCCATCTCCTTTGCCCACAACGCAATAGTATCTTACCCCTTGACCCAAGTTACACTGACACACAAAAATGACAAAGGGACGAACTTCAGGCACTAGGTCAGCTACCGACAACATCAATGTCATAGCTCAATTCGAAGCCTTCCCTCAGCTGCACGGGATTAAGGGTGTAAAAACATGTATTAAGCTTCATTCCTTAAACTCCGGTGCACATCTGCACAAGCAGGGCGATTGTGCAAAGTCTCAACTGAGGCGTCCACGGGGTGGATCGCACTGATTGAGCCTTAACGGTCCAAAGAGTCCAAAAGGAACCTAAGAGCGATGGCCTCCGACCGCAACTGGGCTAGCTACAATCCACTCCGCCAAAGGCTGACTCAGGCCATGAGATTGTAGATGTCTCACGAGATCCTCAAGATCATCAGGAAGACCAAACAAAAAGATGGGGCCAATGTCGCATCTTGCTGCCACTCGGCACATCTCTTCCAGCTAAGCTGCTGCACGTTCTGCAAACTGCTGGCCGGAGGTTGATTGGACCACTTTGAACACAAAGCCCACACTTTGCTCACGGCGTTCCTCCTGGCCGCTCGGATCCGCTCGGCCGCGAGCTGACGAGCGAACGGCCTCGACACCACCCCCACTGACAGCGCAAAGGATTGAGACTTCATCGCTCCACCAACTCCTATCGCAATCCTATCGAGTGCGAACCTGACGGCAAGGCAGTCCTCTGCCGGGAGGGCAGCTGGGCAACCTGGAGCCAATTCGGATGGAAGTCTGGCCAATGCTGGAGGCATCTGGAGACATCAGAGGTCGATGAGAACACCTTCTGACGAGTTTTAGCATGGTCGACTTGAGGCCAGGGCGAGGGGACTGAAAGCTAGCCAAAGCGATAAGAGGGAGGGAAGCACAACAGCAGCAGACCAGAAGCCCAGCAGCAAAATGGCTGCACATCAGCAGCAGAAGAAGCAGAACAGCAGCAGAACGTACTGCGACCAAAGTCTACAAGCAAACGGCAAGCATGCTTCCAGAAAACAAGCAAAAATATAGTACGCCAGCAATCCAACAGCACACACCAGCAGCAAACCAGCAGCAGCTTCAGATCAATACTGTGGGGGTTTTCGTGTATACATCGGCGTCTTGAAGCAGGTGTCCGAATGGCCTTCTCGAACCACGCAACAAGGATGGACACCTTCGTTTCAATAATATTTCATGTTTCTTGGGGTAACGTTTGGGTCAAGGATGACACCTGCATCATCTGAAATCAGGTAGTTTTGACGACAGGGTCCCCTCTGGGAGTTGAACCCCCAGGGGGCTTTAGCTCATCCCAATGCTAAAGCAAAGAAGAACTCTGCGATTGAAGCACTCTAGTTTTTGTAAATGCGCCTGGCACCGAGTCGAAGATCCAGGTCTTCCTCGGCGGGGTTCCTTGTGCCTGCAGGGCTTCCAGCACTGCCTTGGCTGGACACATGAAGCCAAAACCCACTGGCTGGAGAACCGTGTTGAAAACCAGTCATGACATGTGATAACCAATCTATGCAACACGTTCCCATGGCGGTTCCTATGGCTCCTCCTTGGGCGACCATGTCGGGCCAAGGTGCCAAGGCGACTTTGCCACCAAACGAGTGGCCACAAACAATCAGCTCCGCGTCCCTTCGCACACCAGCTTCCTTCAGCCTTCAGTCCGTGCAAAATCGCTCAACATGTAAGGACCAAACGGCTCACACCGAACAGACCTAAAATGACCTTTAAAAAACGATTTGGAACCTTCATGTGGAAGAATTCTTGGTAAAGGAGGACTGTCTCGCGCTCAAGGACGCCGCGTGTCCAACACATCGAGCGCACAGGCATCCAAGTTATGTGGCGGTGAACCTGGGCAGTTGAAGAGGTCGTGATTCGAAACGCAAGACATGTGGAATCAGTGTCCAATCTTATCTCTGTTCATCTCTTTTCTCAATATCGGCTCTCAATGTCGAGTCCCGTCCAACTCTAATCCCAAAAGAGGCAAGGGACTATCGAAGCCCTCTGGGGTGGAATTCTGTGGAAGCCCTTCCATGCAACTCTTTTCACCAAAACATTCCTCGGCGATTGGGCTTCGTGTTGGTTTCAAGCGCTTCGGTCTTCGGCTTGAGCAGAGCGTGCACGGATGGCGACGCTGCACAAAACCGATGGTTCTCAGTGGTGGCCGTGGGCACCTTGTGCCTTCACCGCTGGTGAAACGAGCGAAGTCCACGGACCTGCCGCACCGACGCCGAAGAAACGGATCTCCTCCTGGCACATGGCAAGAACATGGCGCAAAACAAAAGGCGCAAGTCAACCCCGTCCTGCGCGCCGATGGTTGCGAGCCGGACCTCCTCAAAGGTCTTGGTCCGCAAGGCCTGCGCCAGGTCCTTGCGGCTGGAAAGGCTTCGCAACACGCCGAGTCTTCGCAAACACAAAGCTGGAAAAACAACAAAATGCACCGGCCTCCAACTTGCCCACGTTGCCGCCGGAGAGGTGGAGGAGATCCGACTTGTGCTCGACGGCGGCAGCTCCACCGTGGTGCTTGAGGAACGTCTGGAACTGGTCAGGGAGAGCACAAAAACTCAAAGGAACGCGCTCAGCAAACCCGCCTCCTGCTGCTGGCACTCTTCCTCGCTCAGCGGTTTGACCTGGAACCGAACTTCGGCGTCCGCATCAAAGTTCAGGGCGGAGGCGCTGCTCGCCAACACAATGACTTTCGCCAATTCGGCGTCATAGCCCCATGTCTTGGCGAAGCCAGAGCAACTGCGTACAACTGCCATGTCGCTGACCTGCCGGGGCATCTCCAGGACGACGATGGGCAGGCGGCTGAGCGCTTTTGCAGCCTGCTTCAAGGCCTCCTCGGCCTCAACGTCCCTGAGGGCACCCAGCTGCTGGCAAAGTTTTTCTCCTGCCATCTGTTTGTCGCTGTGGAGCTTCACGTGGACGATGCCGCTGCCAGTTCGAAAGCCCCGGCCTGGTGGTTGCGCCAGATCAGCACGAGGGAGCGGTCATCCAGATCCAGCAGGCGCTTCATGGTGACCTGGCACAACAACACGGTGAAACACAAAGCGACACGGATGCTGACGGCTTGCACATGACACCGGGCCTGGACCTGCTCGCGCGGGATTTCCACTTGGGGCTGGAAAGCGTGGAAGGAATTGTGGACCACGCGATTAACCATACGAGCGTGGTCTTGTTCTTCTTGCCGGCGCTTCCAAGCGTCTAGCACAAAGCCACCGATAGCAGCACTTGCGCCTAGAGCTGGTACGCTAACGGGCACGCGGCTGAACATGGCCCCGATGCGTGCTTCATCGTTGCTACAAGCCCAACATGACTTGGACACTCAGATTTTTGCGAAAAAGAACATGCAAAGAGCTGCTTGCCACTGCTTGCGAAGCACTCTCTGCCGGCCGGCGCCTCTTCCAGGCAGAAAGTAGTTTGGTTTAAAGGTGTTCTGTTTTAAAATTTTTGGAGTATATTTAAAAGAAAAAGAAAACAACAAACAAAACATAAATATATATATATATATATGTTTCATCATGCGTGTGGATATCAATCACTTCAACTGGAAGTATACAGTGGCTATCCTTATGCCCATCCAATGAGGCAGCCACGCGCTTGTTTTACTGCTCTCCCTATGGGTGTCTTGAGCCAAATGTTGGCAGTTCACGCTGTACTATTCTAAACAAATATATAATGTGCTTGTCGCTTGTGTCCGACGCTTTCAGCATTGGGCATGCCTGTTGAAACTCAAGGGTAGTGTACTGCACAGCGGGTCGTTATGGTTTGCCGCGAGACCCATCAAAATGGACTCTAACCACACAACACTGATGAAACTAAGCGGGCTTTTACATACAAAGCGTGCAATCCAACCTATTGGCTATACAGTCTATACAAGTTAATTGTGAAAACTGACCGTCAGAGATGCCTCACTCAGAACCTCTCTCAGTAGATCTTCGTCATGGGATAAACCGAGTTCTTGGGATCCTCTCAACTGTAGAAAGTCCACTTGCAGATACTCTTACGACTGTTCAAGGATCATACGCAGTGCGCTGACCTTGTTTGACAGAGGTTCATACGCAGTGCGCTGACGTCCGGTATCTTCTTCTTCATCTTCTCGTCTCGCTCCGTGGTCACGTTCCCAGTCGTCCCAACCTCGACGATCATCCCTGACACGAGTATTGGCCCAATCCTCATCGTAGAACGTTGTTCCATAGGTATTCCAGCTATGTCTGTTCCAATCAACTTGTTGCCCTCGGTTTCTTGTGACTGTATGGAAACCCTTTCCCTTGAGTGGACAAAGAATTTACATGTGATCTTCTTCTTATCTACACTTATACTTCTTCCTCTGTCTTCGCCATCTCCTTTTCCTTTCCCTTTGACTTCTGGATGTCTCTTAGGATTGGGGGTCGGTTTGACAGGGGCCGCCTCTTCCGTCTCTCCCGTTGCGCCTGATGGTTTTGGTTTAGGCTTCTTTGGATCATTGGGTGCAGGTGTAGCTTTTGCTTGGGTGCTGGACCGCTAGGCTTGAGACTTTGGAAGATATTGGCTACATTCTTGACAGCTTTCTCCTTCTCAAGGAGCATCTTGTCTTCAGTTTGCCTTTCAATGTGTCTTCGAATCATGGCCCGGAGAGTTTGATACGTTTTCTCGGGATCTCCTTCGTTGAGGCTGTTGTACATGTGTATGTCATGGAACATCAGCTTGGAATTCCTAATCTTCCTCCATAGCAAGTCACGAAGCGTCTCATCACTCGAGATACCTGACGGCATGATAGGTTCCTATCTCCCTGGTATTCAAACTGATACTGATACAAATGCATAGAAGTGTATAGTACCTCAACGTTGGACGTCGTCTTGAAGTTGAGAAGTATCAGCGCTAGGATCTCTCTTCCTTTGATATCTGTTGAAGCTCCTCCCTTCGCGTTGATACGGGTCCTCAATTTCATAGCGGTTTGTCTTCCTCTTCTTTGGAGTCAGCGACTACCTTAGTCAGTGCTAGGCCCAACTTCGCATCGATAGAGTGAAGCCTTCGATCACCAGAATCCATCAACTTGTCAGGATCCGGGTCGTCAATCACTTCTTTGATCCAATCGATCCATGGTTGTTGATCAGAACCATTAGCAGCGATAACGATTGCCTGAATCAAGTTTGCTTTCCATAGTCCCAGGTCGTTGACTTTGGGACTTTGGGCCATGATGGTACATTTGCCTTGGATTCTTCCTTCCTTGAAACTTTGGTTGTGAAGTTTGGTGAAGAAGAAGAAGAAGAAGAAGCCGATCACAAGCCCGGCTGATAACCTGCGTGTGGATATTAATCACTTCAACTGGAAGTATACAGTGACTATCCTTATACCCATCCAATGAGGCAGCCGCGCGCTTGTTTTAGTGCTCTCCCTATGGGTGTCTTGAGCCAAATGTTGGCAGTTCACGCTGTACTATTCTGTACAAATATATAATGTGCTTGTCGCTCCACTGCTATTGACATTTCACAACTTCAACATCATCAAAAAAATTATGCGTTTAAAAAAAGATCGAAAAACTGAGAGCGAAGGCCTGCCGGAGATCGTCCATGTGCACGGTGGTCCAGCTGTAAAATCCGCCAGCCCTCACGACTAACATGAGCAACAACGAACATGTCAGACTGGCTGAGCCCTCACGAAGGAAGGCAACTGAAGGAAACCACAACAGCTGAACCCACAGATTCTGCCTGTTCTCTTTTCTTTGTTTCTAATCGAACCTTCTGCCACTTTATAGCCTCATTAGACTCATTGGCCTATAAGTTGTCCCACTGTGCTGATCATCCGTGGATTCGATCCTGCCTGTGGACCAATGCTTTTTAGCAAGTGTCTCGAGGGTGTGTTCCAATTCCTCAGCCATGCCAAGACGCTGCAGCCAAACGCTCTGACGTTGCTAAGCCGCATCATTTCTCATCAACCATTGGCACAAAGAGAAAAAGACCACGTCAGTGTTAAATGCCTCCTCCTTGTCAATGTCATGCAAAATGTCTCTCCCATATTCGACCTATATGTCTGACGGCTGTTTGAAAGCTGTCTGACAGCTCTCATGGCCTTTGTAACCCGATCCTCATGTCGTGTTTCTCTGCCGAGGATCGATTTGGACCCCAGCTTCATTTTCAAAAAAATCGCGGAGGGTGGAAAGTAGGCCGCGAAGCCAAGGGGAGTGGGGTAGAGGTAGGAGGTCAAAAAAAGGTCGTCGCGGCAAGCTTATGTAGCTAAGAGAAGCCATGCACCAGGTAAGCCAGAAGGCTTCTCATCAGCTTATGTAGCAGCTACATTGTGGCTAAGATGTCTTTAGTAGTCTAATGAGCAGCTCATCAGGTGGATTGGAAAAGAACATCCAGTGGTTTTGTATTTAAGAGGATATGGGGACATTCTTGAGCGGAATGGAAGAGGATATTCTTCTGATCACCGATGATCGCCACTCTAATTACGAAGACATCTTTATTCCTAGTAACATCGCTTCTAGTAACAAGTGCCTTACTAGTAGCAACAAGGACGCTACCAGGGGCTCCTGGCCGTACTACTAGGAGCAAGTAGCTACTAATAGCGTCCATGCTCCTGGTAGCGATGCCAGGAGCCCCTAGTAGCTTCTTGTGTCTAATGGCAATGGCCGCCACCTTGTAGCAAATTATATTAGACCTGCCTTTCTTGCTTTTCTTTTCCAAGAGCCCTACTGGGGCCCCACTTCGGCCGGTTGCAATGCCACAAAAGGTTAGAGTAGAAATACACCGCTGGAGACTCACCGAACTCGCAAGAACTCACTCCCTTTTGGATCAAGGCAGGTCGCTTTCCGTCCTGTCGCCTTCTCGCTTACGCGTGCCTGGGCCTATGCCTATCCCTTCCTCAAAATGCCTTCCACTTCCGTTGAAGACATGCTTTCCGGTTTTAGCGGCTAGGGCTGGTTCAAGATAAGACGCTCTCCTCTTCTTCTTCTTCTTCTTCTTCTTCTTCTTCTGACTCCATGTTTGTTTGTTCTTGCTCCATGTTTGTTTGTTCTTCTCGCGTTCTTGACCAACAGGCTCTTACGCTGTTGCCCGGGTCGCCCGACGCAAACCTTCTGGGCTTCCTCTGGCCGCTGGCCACCTCACAGCGACGGAACCACAAACCAGTCTGGCTGAAGCCACAAAATGGCATTCAGCGCACGGTCAGAAACTCGTGATATCAGTGATATCCTTAGTTACTAGTAGCAAGAAGCTACTAGCAACAAGGATGCCCTTGGTCAAATCATGATCTCCCATGATGAGCATATTGAAATTGCAGAGAGCTGGCTTTGGGCGGATGAAAATGGCTAGACACTTCCCATGAATCGTTCGATGGCCTGCCCAAGAGTAGGACAACACCGCGAATCCGCGTGTGCCACATCGCCATGGCTTGAAATGCTGCATGTGATTCGTGGCTGACAAGCTTCCTTGCTCCTAGTAGTAAGGCCAGGGGCCCCTAGTAGCATCCTTCCCTTGACCAGCCGAGGGTGGGAAAACTACCCAGACCCACTGATCGTTGTCCACTCCAGCACAGAATTAGCGACACAATGTCCTGAAGACTCCCCTTGCTCCGCCATCGCTATAAGTCCTCATGTGTGAAGGAAATGAGAATGGGAGTGCCCCGAACCATTCGTTCTTAGCAGTACCGGGTAGCGGGTAGCTAAAGCAGCACAGGCCACGAATAGCTTAATAAGAAACCGCACCCTTAAGTTGAAAGCCCCCTACTTCGAGCGGCACAGCTGCATAACACTTGGCAGTTGCCGCGGGAGATCTGAAGGCAGCGGCGGCCCAAGCAGATTAGGCCTAGACCAACCCATTCCAGCAACACCCACTTCACTGCACTGGCAAAATGCAGTGCATGCACCGTACTTCATGGCACTTCTGATGCCCCTTGGGCCCTTTTTGCGGAGCTCATCTGCGGCTCATCTTAGCCGAAGTGGAGACGAGCCTGAAGTCTTCTCGATCGCCCACTGATCGGTCGCACTTCAGTATATAACTTCAACCATGCCTTTCACCGAGAGCCTGGCTCGCAATAAGTTGCCCGAGTCTCCTCGCCGTGATTCGACCTCAGAATATTCTAAAAAGCAATCTTATGTTGAGTTACAACTAGGAATGGCCTCCAACCTAATTGCAATGGTCTCCCCCTAATAGCGATGACCTCCAACCTAAGAGCGATGGCCTCCAATCCAGTTTTTTCTTTCTTACTTCCTTCTGCCCGTTTCTGTGCCACTATTGATCTGGCTGCCTGTACCCTAGAATGCTGAGCGTCACGCACTCGAACGCCGCAAGC